CTCCCCAAAACAGCATACTAAATACTACATTCACGTCCTTACTTGTCATAGCCATACCAAAATAAATCAACTTGTCTTACCTAATCTACTGCTTTTCACCTGTGCTCGGGCTTCCGCTCTTACCCTGAAGTTTGTCCTTCTTCTATTAACTTATAAAATTCATTTGCACGAGTACGATGACATAGGCCATTTTGGTGTAAACGTTTCCTTCAATATGCGTATAAGAAATAAAAATGCATAATTATATGACGCCCTGGCCGTCGATTTCGACAATTTTCCCGATGTGGTACACACTGCAGTGCAGTTGGCAGGTTGATTTGTCCGTGTGTTAATTTATTATGACAGTAGCATCTTCCACAAGCTCTCTTCTCCGGCCTCCAGACAAAGTTAAGACAACTGACGTCGGATGGCGGTTTGGGTTGCTGGCGTGGTCGGAGCCGCACGTAGACGTGCCATCGCAACCCCTGGTCCACAATATACACTTAACTAGGGTATTTTGCCGACAAAGACAACAACACCGCAACAGAGCGACGAGGGCAGACATGCTCACCACCTGTTTAACTAGCGATAGCGCAAGCGTATTTAATGGCCAGGAACCAGGTGTTAGATGTCTGCCTGCGCATACCAGACTGCGGGGCCATGGTTTGCTTATGCCGGTATAGCATCGTAGCCACCCATTTTGCCTGGGCCGCCAGATTTCAAGGTTGCGTAAACAAACAGGCGTCGAATGACAGGCATTAACCACAAAGTGTACACAGACACAACCACAAACCATCTCCTTACAAGCATAAGAGTGTCCAATGTCTATGCCATGTTTAAAAAGGAGATTAAACATAGATTAAACACAGAGTTCATAAAATTTCGCAGTGAATGCGAAATATGTTGTACATTTCGTAAGGAGCATTTGATAATAAGGACATGTGCGCTGTTGTATGAATGGACCTCGTATGGTCTCAAACTGTTTAAAACCGAAAGATAATCTTTATTAGGGTAGAAAATACGTATGCAATGTGATGTTTTTACCAAACTAGTAAAAAAGAATACAGTTGTACATTATTTCTATAAAATATATTTTAATTCATAAGACCATCGAAAATCAATGTAAAAAATGCACGCTAATTAAGAAGTCAACTTTCGGTAAGTGCGGTTTCTGCAGGAGGTTGAAACGAAGTGCATTCAAAAGCCGACATCCTGTCGAGTCTGAAACATTTTAGGCTAATGTCACTCGAAAATTAATATTACAAAGCCATCTAAGTGATCCTTCCTAGTCTAGAACAAATTTCGGAATTTTTGGCCAAAATTTCATGAAATGGGTCACAAAATGTACACTACTCCCACAGGCTATTCAAACGAAGTAGATCCGTTTTCTCAGTCTCGCCTCCTGCCGGCGCAATGGACATACCGTTTACTCTGGCCATTGTGTAGTGCCATGTTTAAAAAACGAGCCAGAAAGATCTACTCGGACAATGACATTGAAAATAGGCTTACTATTTTAAAAAAACCTTTTTTCGCCAGAAATGTGTTCTGACAGATTCATTTCTCAGAATATGACCAAAAGACTTGCAAAGTCGTCTATGCGTTAATCAGGGAACAAAAAACTTATCATCAAAGTTTTATTTTAAGGGCATCTGCTTGGTGAATATTTTTAAGGACACTTCACTCAAGCTGTAGGAAGCAACGCCCTAGCTGCTGTCACCCATACATTGTTTTTACTAGTACTCGCTCAAACCTGTCCATTGTATATTCATTCCTCCGCCAGTTCCTGTGGCCCAAGTGCATATTGGCCCTTCGAGATAGATTTTTTTCTAAATGCACCCGCTCGTCTACCAATAAAGCTAGGAAAATGGTCAAAAAATAATGTGTATAGCACTGTAAGTGTATATGAGGCAAGCGCAGACCACCGATGCTTTACATCAATTCTTCAGACTGCGACAAGTCATAAAGAAATGCCAGTGCAGCATATGTTGGCTGTGACAGGGGTCGCTGCAATTAGGATACGCAGAGCGATCCTGTGCGCTCAAATGGGAGTTCTACAAGTCCCATCGTTGCAATGGATTAAAGCCCCCATACCAGTCACACGCACCACCATCCCTTTGACGCTTACGGCAATTTCAGTGCTTCACACTTTCTCCCAATGCCTAGCTCTCACAAAGCTAGTTACCTCTCTGCATAAGTTCATTCAGTGCTTCAGTAAAAGGCTTCAGGCGACTTATTAAACTCAGACGCATGCTAAATACATTGCACTATGGAAATGCAGATGTCCCTCCTACTTAACTCGATCAAGTAGCTAAAAATTAACATATAGTTTATCGGTTTCGAACAACGGCAAATTCCCTATTGCCAGAGGGTTAGTGTCAACAGGCTCACGGTTTAGGAGCAGCGGTTACAGAGTTTGCAGAAAATGGCATAAAGTTATATTCAGACAAAATTGATTGCATCCAATGGGTCAATTTATGGTAAGAATTCCTTCCCAATACTTAAAATGCCTGATGTTCAAGATATCGTAAATCTTACTCATGCTATTTTACCAGAAAAGGGTCAATTTGGCCCATAGCGTCGTGGTAAGAGTTGAAAATGCCAATTTATTTTTTTATGTAAGAGAAGCCGCAATGCTTTTAGATATTCAATTTGGACTATGAACCGATATAGATCAGGAAATAGGTGCATCTATTCAATCGAAGAATGGATTGGTACATTTGGCGCATTCCGAATATATACTGCCATTGTACACCATCCGAATATATTTAACCCTAATTTTTACAAAACACATATGACCATTTATAACCCATTCATACTCCTATCGCCCAACAACAATTCTTCCATATGCAACAAATTCTGACGCAAAACGAAGAAGATTATCTTGTGATATTCATAACTTGCAGTGTCAGAGAAAGTACTTGCGTTGTTCTGAAGATTGGCATCATTGCTGCTACGCATGTTCACCCTCCAGACAGTGCGATAAAAGTTAGTGAAACGCCCCCGACAACCTGGCGTTCTAGTGGTGTGCACTATTCGTTTAAAATCGAGAAGGAATGGGCACCTCAAGTTCTCGTCAAATTATAAAATAAATGGACATTTGTTAACAGGTTGTCTTAAGTTGTAAACATGCTTGCAATAAGTGGGATGCGAAACAATATCTCAAGATCTGGAGTACACAGTGCGTCTCACACGGAAATTCTGCCCATAAAAGAGATGTGCGAGTAAATCTGCTTGAATAATGAGGAAGAATGATCTGCTCTTCTAGTAACCTTGATAACGACCATTATAATTTGCGTTTTGCTGAAAGGGGCATTCATTTATTTTGGGAATGGTCGCCCGCCTGACAACCTCAGAAGGGATACCGTACGATACGTGATTGTAATATATTTCCATCTAACTCTAGTAACATACAATTTGTTCAACAGAGAGCCCGTTAAAATTAAAATAAAATGATTATATCGATGTATGCATTATTTTAAAAGAGGGTATACATTGCATATAAATGCACCGACATACTTGGTGATGCGGAATAGCAGTATAGTTAACCAATTACATATGTAAGGGAGAAAACTTACGGGATGCACGCATATTTGTAGGTGATAAAAGTTCGTTTTTTCAGAAAAACGGAACATCACACTCGCTGTTATTATTTTTAATAGTTATTTGCCGAACTATTGTCTGTCCAGATTAAAATAAAATGCTTATATTAATCCACGTGGGGAGGGCGGTGGCGAGCAATTATCACAGTGACAGTGAGCCAGCTTGCCGAGCAATCGTCACACCAGCATCCAACACGGATGACGAAATCACGGTCATTAACGACTCGCACTCGCGCCGACAAGCCACCGCCACATTAATTATGCCCCCAGCGGTGATTGCGAGAACTGTTTATTGCAGTGCGCATACGGTCCACGACAGCCGCGTGCCATAAATGCTACACTTTTGTTGCCACCATCACCCTTATCTGCGAACGTCTCTGATGCTGGATTCGAGTGAGAATCCGAAACGTCAGGCCAATAAATGTCTTGTTCCAGTAGTCGTATCTTCGTCTTATGAAATGCTACCTTGAACTCGCCTTTTCGTTTATATCAGCAATCCTCTGGTTTGCTGTTAACACAGCAAAAAACTAGTAAACGCATACATTGGATCCAAAATGCTGTTTATGTTCACGTATGGACCCTAATTGTAATAGTTCCGAGTAAATATGTAAGAGCAGGGACGTCACGCATGCCAACGGGCAGCCATACTAGATCAACTGAGCGATGAGAAGATACACGAATTCGGGAATTATGTGGTATCCATTTCGAACAAACGAGGGGTAATCAGGAGGACTTCCCCTATTCGCCGTATGTAGTAAGGCAAACCACAGTTAACGATCCTGATGACCTCGATAAAACATCGTTTGAAGCCTGTTCGTTGGGTCCTACCTTTTGCAGTCTTCGACAGAAATCAAACCAGTTAAAGTTTGTAATACAATTCGAGAACACCTTCAGTCTACCTTGTGAACTTCAGCCCGTTTCAACAGGCATCCACGTTGGTCAAATGCTCTTATATGCCTGTTCAGTCCGCAGACATTTCAGGGAATGCTGGCGAGGTCACACATTGAGAAGTTTAGTGCAACTCCGACAAAACAAAGACATTCTGATAGCTAGCCCATATAAGGGGACTAGCGTTGTTCTCATGGACATGGTAGACTATATTACAGAAATACAGTCAATTCCGTCAAATCAGGAAAAGTTCAGAATGACAGAAAAGGAGATATATCGTACAGATGAGATCGAAACACAAATTACTCACTTATTGAAAAAACTTCAGACGGATCTGAACGAAATGGTTATGTTTTTGTTTGATGTCTCATGCATTTATACGAACGTACCGGTAACGGATACGGTCTTTAACCTTTGTGATTGCATTGCGACAAACAACAGTATATAGGAATGCCGGTGAATTACCTCAAGTAATTGCTATTGAGGTGCAACGTGAACGTGCAGATCCTTTTTGAAAACAATCTATATAGACATATGGGCGGTGTGGCTATGGGCTCGCCCGTTGCCCTTCTTTTGGCGAATATATTCAAAGAAAAGTTGGAATCTTACCAGCTACGTCGCCATATCAACGGTCTGGGGTACTATGCACGGTACGTGGATAATATTATTCGAAATTGCACCGAAATAAAGTGACACCTTAATTCTACTGGAAGATATAAATCAGGCTCACCCAAGTTACTTCAGCGGCAGCTTACCTCTGATTGCTTTTGCAAATCGAGTATGTGTCGGCCGCAACAGTTTTGACTGATAAACAAGCGCACTCGCACCAGTGTCAGTCTGGCCTTTTGACCAATTGCAGCCACGCAAGCAGATTAGTCAGCTACATGGTCGTTTTGATATGCCCCCTCCCAAGACTGTCACAAATGCTCAACTCTGACATGGGAGGCCACTCTTGCGGCGCTCAATGTGTGCCAACTTCTTTTAACCTGTTCTCCACTATTATATACTTAAGCTCGCCTTAGCCGCAAGGCAAGTACACGAATATAAAACACGTGAAGCACTGCAGTATTCAAGTATCCGAACTGTGCACTCGTAGTTTCGGCATGTTGTAAACTGCGTACTGTTGGCCTTGTGGAATCACGGTACTTGCGATTTGCGAGCCTCAGTTTTCGGCTTTAAACACGACCCTCTGTTTTGTTTTGAAGATTGCTGTGCCATACATATGCGATTGCCGTTGAAAAATTGTCGCTACACTTTTGGTCGACCATTGATCGTGATTCATTTAATTATATGTACTGCATTTATTGCCTATTTGTCCTATAATTTGAATTACTCGAAAATTACAAAAATCAAATCTTAATTTCGCGCACCTGACATTTTGCTATGTAGCCACTTATTAAATTTGAAAGCGATAAACGCGCAAATGCTTGGTTGGAATAGATGACCCGCGACTAGTTTTGAACTGGAGTCGGTTACAATTAATAAGATAACGATTCGACTGTATATTCTAGTTCGGTAATTTAAGATTCTTGTACTCCATGTAAATGATTCACTCGACATTGCAATTTACACCAGTTTTTAGCGGGGACTGGGCTTCGGATCGTCGAAAGTCACAAATACGCAGGCAAGCTGAATGAAGTGTCTCAGCTACGTCTTGTATCTGAGCTGGTCGGTAGGTAATAGCCCAAGCCTAGTGGGTGAATCACAAACCATTGTCTATGCTAGGGCTTTTGAAGGCAGACTGTGCGTCAGAACGACCATACTTCCTTGAATTCTCTTTCAGCGAGAGAAGGTATAGAAAGCGGTCGGCCGCCTTGTAGCACCATTTGGGGTTGGTGTTTCACACGGACTGGAGGCAACAATCATGCGTCAGGTAATATAACCGAAAGGCCCGCTGCCATGTATACAAACGTCTGGAGAAATTTATAGTATCTCGTGCCGTTGAGAACAAAACAACTACGTGGGAGAAACAGAAAGCAAACTCCAAACATGAATGATTTAAACACGCTGCAGCGGTGACGAGAAATGTCGTCAGCTCTCTAGTTCCGGCTCATTCGACGAGTTTCGGCCACACATTCAAATCTGAAAGGCCGAAATTCTCGAAAGAGGCGACAACCAGGTAAACCGGGAATTAATCGACTGATGGTTTACTGGTCTTCAGTTCATTAACAAGTGCATTCTCGTTTCATACTCGGTGCTGAGACTTCACCTTTGCGGAGTAATTGGCCGCGAGGGGAGCACACAGGTGAACACTTATCCCAACACCAGTGTGGTGCGTCAGATGGTCGAGAAATCATCTCACCAGCATGCAATAAACGTGATGCAATTGCAGCAATTAATGACGCGAATGTCGGCCATGAAAAAGAAGCCCACCACGTGCGAAGACCTCGCATAAGGGTGGGGGGGGCGTGAATTCTCATATGTATGCTTTGGCATGATGATAGCATCCTATAAATACTGCAGCCACTTGTGCATGAACCACCCGTATCTGCGTTTGTCTCTGATGATGGGCTCGTGCAGGAATACGAAACATCAGGCTAATAAAGCCATTGTCCCGGCGATCGTGTCTCCTTCATCAAAAGCAGGCTGTATAACGTGTCAAAGCGTATTGATGGCGTTCTTGATTGGTTGAATAGTGGGCCGCGCTCTGGATGCGTGTAGAAACGCTTGACAACAGGGGAGTGTATTATATTGCATATGTTGTCGGAGTTGGTGGGAGGCAAAATAGCCTCCAGAAATGCATGCTCCATCCAATAGCTGGCTGGTGCCACTCTCCGCGTGATCGTAAAGTTAGATTTGCGGCCTTACTGCAGGGAGTGAGTGACGGCTTGAAACCGCTGGTCGCCTCTGTTACTCGCAGTTCAACAGGCCAAAGCGGTCTTTGGAGACGAAGTCGGTGTTCGGCTATCTAGCAGGGCTCATGAACGGACTGAGCTGCAGTAGTATAATATCGCGAGCCGAATGGGGACAGAGGTAACCAACAGAAAACTTTCGCCGCTCAATGCCTTGCACACAATCCACAAACCCAGCGTTCTCATTCGGCCTAGAAGGCAGTGCAGCCCACATTCTAACCAGATCGATTGTGCGAAGTCTACACTTTAAAAAAAAAACTGTCGCGGATGTCTAAATCTGTCAATACTGTCAAACCTGAAATGAGCAAAGTATTATTTCGACGAGAATTTATCGAAAGCTATGTATGCTCGCACCTCGTATTATGCTTACATTATTAGTCGATGTGATATCAGTAATTCAATTTATCCCACAGAACCAGGCACAGAAACTAGGTAAAGATCTCGTTAAATTACACAGAAACCTGTAAAAGGAGACTAACGGGAATACTTTACATTCTTTCACAATCCGATCTTACACTTTAAGGGCGGACAATGCAAGAAGGACGCAGATACACCAATGGGCTCGACATTACCCAGCTAAGTTTCCGATTTGGTCCTACGAGAACGAGAAAAGGTTATTTCACCACCACGAACCTGCGTTTTGAGGCCGATGTGCAGACGACGCGATTGATATGTGTGAGAGGGGTTAGAAAATCGGACTGCCTGTGCTTAAACAAATGAACTTATTGCTGCGGGCTTGTGTGTTGGTATGCCCGTTATCCGATAGTTGTCACGAGTACTACAAACATGCGGATGAACGGAATCCTGGATGCATAATAATCGTTACAAATATACAAATCAAAAAATAATGGCAACTCAGCTTACATTTTAGTGTCATCAGACGGGTTGAAGAGGCTATATATTGTCCCGAATCCAACTCGAATCCTGCCAAAAGGCCTTGAATCAAACTACGCGACCACGCGCATAATTCTGTTTGCCGGCCACGGGACGCGACACCAACTACTGGGGGGCAGGCCGACTGACAATAAGGTCGCCAACAGACACGTTTTGTATGGCCGGTTGAGGACTGCTAATAAGCCATAACGGGTCATTTAAGTAATACTTGTCTTTGCAGGCAATGCTACACCTCCATGTATCCTCCAAACACAGTCACGCCTATCTTTTACACAATCGGGGCGCGGCCAATTACTCAGCCTAGAATGCATGCCGTTATCACACTGTGACACGATATACACCAAACCCTTGACTAAACACTGCCGCCTACCTCCACCTTAATTGCCTTCCTTGTTATTTGACTGCACAGCTGCTCACTGAAACTGGCATTGTCAGTAAAAACGAAAGGACAAGTCCCAGGAAATAGTCTTGAAGGAGGAGACGCGATCGCTGAGACAGGAGCTTTACTAGCCTGACGTTTCGGATTCCTGCTCGAATCCATTATCAGAGACAACAGCAGATACCGGTGATTTATGCACAAGGGGCTGCAGTATTTATAGGACGCAGTCGCCATGCTACCGCATAGCTATGAAAACTCACGACTCACCCCTTCATCCGGGATCGCCGCTTGTTGGCCAACGTTCGCGTAGTTAATTGCTGAAATTTCATTACGTACGTTGCATGTTGGTGTGATGATTGCTCGACCATCTGAAGCGCTGACCCTCTTATTGGGGAAAGTGTTCACCAGTGCGCTCCCTGCTTGGCTAATTACTCCGCCTAGGCGAAGTCTGAGCACCGAGTATGGAAGGGGAAGATCATTGCACTGGTTAATAAACTTGTGGTAATTAAACCATGATTCAAGTAGAGTCTGATCACGCTTTAAATACATTGCCTCTGTACTGCTGAAAGACTGTCAAGTCGGCCTTATCAGTCAAATACCTTGTCAAGCTGGCTTACAACACGTTCGACGTAAACTGCTTTCCTGCTGTCAAAGTTTGAATTCCCCATTTAGGCGTAAAATACGTGGATCGTTAAAGACCTAATCATACTCAAAAAGGCTCACAGGCGCACAATCTAACTATTTAAAGGACAGGTATTTCTGCTTTGCACATCGAATATGACCACTATGTTCTGCTGCAAAAAACACCCCAGTCACAGTCATTCAGCAACTCTCTCTAGTTAATTATGTATACTAATTGTCCCCAATTTTGACGATTTAAGACCTTTTTGCATGTTAAACCTTTAAATGGAAAATCTGGCCAATAAATTTTATAGGGAATATAATTTTAGATTTTGTCGTTGTGACACGCATTTTTATGTACATGACAGTATTAGCCTACGGATATTCGATTTTCTCTCACATTAGCGAGTACAACAGGCGCCCCGACAATGCTCATTATAGGGAGTATGCTCTTACAACCATAGTCGAGGCAACGTACTGCCTATGTCATATGCCGCCGTGAGGTTGCTGGTTGGGCTCGAGAGAGAGAGTCCGTAAGGCAAAGCGGAACGAGTAAATTTTGTAAGAACGATCGGTGAGCGCCCCCTATCAACGCTCATTATGTTAATGTGATCATGGGAATCCTCGTGTACGGGTTCAAATTCGTAACTTGGTATGTTACACAGCGACATGCTAAATGACAAGGATAATGTGACTTCGACTTAAGACTTCATGAATTCCGCACACTGATGCTTGCGCATGGTAAACATTTCTCGATCGGGATTTGTTTGAATTCCGGTCTGCTGGACAGACTATTATGCATTTTCTACGAACAAATTACAGTCATGCCGTTAACGGCAATGAAATGTCAATTGCCTATATGGCCTTAGAGGAATAAAATGGCGTATAAAAGAGTTCTGCTGCACAATGTCAAATGGGTGAGGGACTGAGCGGGCTGACGGGTGTAGCCTTGGCAATACGATGCCAAATCTTGTTGAATGACGGCCCTCGATTTAAAGCAGGTCGATAGGCATTTTACACACTTAATGGGTCAAACATGTTGCTGATGAATGTGTGAGCGCATATTACATCAGACTGTGTGCACATACTGCGTCTACAATAGAACGAAAGTGTCGAACTTTAACGATACGCATAAACGATTGAGTCCACATTCAACTCTACTGCCATAAGGGGGTCAGCTTGTAAAAACGTTAATACACATATTCCATATATAAGCTGTGTGGTCACTCTTGACAAGGGGGGGGGGGGAGATTTGAAGTTGAGAAGATAGAGTAGATCGATGCAAGTGCTACTTCTGCACGCTAGCTGCTGTATCATGTGCTAGGAAAGAACCTCGTTGGTCGAATCGGGTGGGGGGTGTGTGTGTTTGAGCGTAGAATTAACGTAAATACTTCACATTCGTTCAAAATCCAATTTTCATTTTTAAGAGCGGACAGAGATTCAGAGTTGGTTCTACGAGAGCTAGAAAAGGTTCGCTTTACCAACGCGAACCAGCTTTTTGACGCCGATGCGTAGACGACGCGATTGATATATCTGAGGGGGAGAGTGAGAAAATCAAACTGCCTGTGTCTGATTAATAACCTCTCTCGCGACATCCTGTTCACATATAAAATCAAGGATATCGAACATTTGTCTTTAGCAGTGAGGAAATCAGTTATACGGTTTATGAAATGCGAATACCGAAACTCCCGTATATCGCTGTTATAACAATTGCATTTGAGTTAATACATTGCAGTACGTCCAGCGGGCGGACGAGTACACAACCAGCGGCATGTTCGAAGACTACTAGAAAGTAATGGAATACCCAAACAGCTCCATCAGCCGCTGCCTCCAGAGAAAGATCCGGCAGCTCTTTGTCAAAATGATGATTCAATAGGACGCGTTTTGATGCCGATGCGTAGACGCCGCGATTGCTAAGTCTGAGGGGGTAGAGGGTGGGGGTGCATATTTGAATTTAAGTTAAGGCATTTTAGTAAGTCCAGCTGGCCTAGGAGTGCAGAAACAGCTGCATGTTCGAAAAAAACTACGAGAAAGGAATGAATACCTTAACAGCTGCATCATCCACGGTCTTTCGACGTGCCCTTGCGAAGCAAACGAGAAACAACCATCAACTTTTTGACAAAGTGATCATTCAGAACAAATGAACGCATTGCTGCTGGCTTGTGTATTGGTACCCCCTTTGTCTGACAGTTTCTATAAGTAACTCAACCATGTAGATGAAGGGGAGCCTGAATGCATGATAATCTTTATAAATATATTGATTAGAAATAAGGACAACTTAGATCAAAATTTATAAAGTGTCATCAAAGGGGTGTCGGAGAGGCGACACATTGTCTCAAATTCCACTTCCATCCTGTCAGAAGGCCTTGAATCACACTTCACTCTCACGGGCATAATCCTGCTTGCCGGCAATATGATGGCACCGAGGGCCAGACTGTCTAACAATGACATCACCAACAGACACGTTTTGTACGACCGGTGGAGGACAGCGAATAATCAATAAGGGGTCATTCAAGCCTCCCTTGTCTTTGTAGGCAATGCTACACCCCCCCGAGGTATCGTCCAAACACCGTCAGGCCTTTTTTTTACGCAACCGAGGCGCGGCCAAGTACTCAGTCTAAAATGCATGCCTTATCACACTATGACACGGTATGCACCAAAATCTCGACAAAACACTACCGCCTTCCTCCACCTTAATTGCCTTCATTTTTATTTGACTGCAAATCTGCTCACTAAAGTTTGAATCCTCACCTTCGCTGACAATGACCTTCAACGCATTTCTGAAGGCTCTTGCGCGAAGTCTATAGCCCTACTGGTCTTGGTGCTCTCGGTAACACCAGGTCGCACCAGTCACACTTCCTCGCTGTTAGACTACAAGAGCTGCCCTGTGGCCGTCAAATTCTGATTTCCGTAACGATGGCCTCATTCACGAGCCGAGGACTCTGACGAGTACATCTATTATTCAGTGGTTCTGCAGTCATTATCTCGGCAGCAGATTATCGGATTCAATTTTTTATCCAACAGAATATATTGAATCAAAATTATGCGCCTAAATATAAGGACGGTGCATGTATTCGGGAAATCCAAACTGAACCAGCACATAGATGATTTATTTATGTTTATATGAGAAGAAGTAAAGCAACCGATTTCCTATCCCCTAAATGACATCTTATGATGACCTAAAAGTCAGTGAGGATGGAGCAAAGAAAGGGCATCTCCTTCAGTCATTACGTCTATATTTTAGAGGAAAGCAAATCTAATATTACCAACTGCTAGGGAGAGAAGTGCGCAATGATGGAGACTGATTTTTGCCAAAAACGCTGCTCGCAAAGGTATTTTGATGATGATTGTTTCACAGTCTAGATCGACATTAATGGGGCAAACTCAGCCGAAAAAAACATTATAAAAAACATCCTGATGTGGATTCATAGGCTCTTAATCAGCCATTCTCAAAATTTCCGAGTAGATGACAGGGTGTTGGCAGTGTCGATGGAACCCGATCTGTGAACCGCGATGTTCGCGCCTAAATGGTAAAACACTACAGAAGGTTGACACACAAAACAACTAGAGTATTATCAGGCTTTAATTGCATTGCCTCTGTACTGCTGAAAGACTGCCAAGTCTGCGAAATCTGTCCAATACTTTGTCAAGCTGGCTTACTGCACGTTCGACAAAAACTGTTTGCTGCAGCCACAGTTTGAATTCCCCATTAATGCGTAAAATATCTGGATTGTTAAAGACCTAAGCATAATCAAAAAGGTTCACATGTGAACAACCGAACTACATAACGGACAGAGAGTTCTACCCTACTTACCGAATATGACCACTCTGTTCTACGTGACATAAGAGTACCACATATAAAAGCTCCTTGTATTCGTCGATGATTGCGTATTTTAACACTTGAATAGACCCTGTCAGCCCCGACGTCACCGTTGACCTTCCTGCAAAAATTACTTCATTAGCATAAGCCTGTCCAGTTAATTATCTATACTGTTGATCTTCAATTCTGAACATTTCAGAGCTGATTGCAGATTACCGCACGGTACGCTTTTATATGGAAAACCTGGCCAATTACTTTTATAGGGAATATAATGCTTTATTTTTTTTCGTTGCGATCAACGTAGGTAAAACACATTTTAATGTGCATGGGAGTATTGGCCTTTGAGTCTTCGAATCTCTCTCTCGCATTAGTGAGTACAAAAGGTGCCGCGACAATGCTCATTATGTTATAAGGGTAATGATTATCATCTTATACCGGTTGGAATTCGTAACTTCGTAGGTTAAACAACGACATGCTGGATGAAAAAGATCACTTGAAGCCGACTTAAGACTTCATGAATTTCGCCCACTGATGCTTGCGCATTGTGAAAATTGTCGATCGCTTATGCCTACATCAGTGTGCGGAATATGTTTGCACTCCGGTCTGCTGGACGGACCATTACGCCTTTTCTGCGAACAAAGTACAGTCATTCCGTTGATGGCAATGAACTGTCAATTGTCTATGTGACATTTAAGGAATAAAACAGCTCATGAAAGAGTTCTGCTGCACAAGGTCAGATGGGTGCGGGGCTGACGGGCGTAGCATTAATGATACGATGCCCGAAAAAACGTTGAATGGCTAACCATAATTTGGAGCAGGTCGATCGATATTTTTGCACACTAAATGGGTGAAACTTGGTGGTAGTGAATGTGTGAGTGGATATTACGACAGATTGTGTGCGCATACTGCGTCTACGACAGAGCGCATGACTCGCACTTTAACGGTACGCATAAACGATTTAGTTCACATTCAACTCCACTACCGTGAATGGATCAGCTTTTAACTGCTTGAATACATATATTGTATATATATACGCTGTGTGGTCACTCGTTGACTTAGGGCAGATGCGAAGTTGGATAAATTAAAAATATCGCTGCAAGTGTTGTCAGTGCCCGCTAGCTGCTGTATCATGTGCTAGTAAAAGCCTCGTTGTTCAAATCGGGTGGTGTGTGTGTGATCGTGTCTAACAAAACCCGTTGGGAAAAGACTACATCATTTACGCGACAGCACCTACACTAGATATCGTGAATCACACATTTTCGCCTCCTCAAAACTTCCGCATTTACAGGTAAACAGGGAATCGGCTATATGTTGATATGCAGAATCTGCTCTTCGTGCATGCTGACATGTGAGCAAGCCTCGGTAGTCAAGGTTATGTGAACAAATAACTTCTTGCCTTTTTTCCCCAGACGGTCGTTTGCTGTACTTTCCGATCATCCCATTGGACTTTCAGGTGTTCTAAACATCAATTTCGAGAGGACCATTGTCACTTAAATGAAACTGGTATTCACTTGTGTGATTACTTTAGATTCAGGCTTGTTCTTTCGCATCGCATTCAGTGGGCCATGGATGTTAACAGAGAATTCACGATTTTACAAGTCAATATATCACTGCGTTTGCCAATATTCAATGACTGTATTCAGACTAACCCACAATGCGTTATATCCCTTAAAAACAAAATTTACATTTCCGTCAATTGATATGCATACGTCGTACATACGAGTCTTGCGTACTCTCGGTTGCTTGTAAATCTGCTCACTTGTATTGCATTATTTATCTCATCACAATTTGCCGCGGCGAGCATTCTTTTAATGATATTTTACATTCTATTATTGATCATTCACCTATACGCATCAAACAAATGTAAATGCATCACAATTACATACGCGACAAACACCACTAGTCGAATACTTCAAAAGTTACGCAATTCCTTGATTTTTCAGATTTAGATTCGAAACAAATAGGGCCAATTTTTAGATTCTCCAGAAGCACAGATCCGCATATGCAGTCTGTATGTGGAAAATGCATAATTTTGGCTAACTGCATTGCATTACACGTCGATACACATCGTTCCGCGGACTGGGAAAAATTAAGCAGCATAAAGAATTAACTTTGTATTAGAAAAATTGGGAAATATAAAACAACGGCATCAGGAATTTTTTAGGCGAAGTTGCAAACCAAGAAAATGAGGGGATGATATATAGGCACGTATACGGATCAATTCTGCCGTCGTTGTATTTTCCTTTCAACATGCCTTCATTCCACTGCATGTATCTGGCATCTCAAAGGTAACTGTTCAATACTGATCATTAGTGCACCCGTGTCAGCACGAATGCTTATCCATAATGGCCAAATTTAACGATGCGATCAAAAATATTAAGCATTGAGCTGCACACTTACATGCCGACATGTCAGGTGGCCTTTCTGACGTTACTTTTCTCGTGGAGACAGCCCACACCAACCTGCGTGCGTCAGTAGTCATGCAGCACTAAATACAAAACACATCGAGTGCAAATTTAAATAAAAAACAATTAAGTGCATTCATGCAACACACTCATGGCGTATCGCAATAAGTAATCATATAGTGAAAGTAACTCCAAGGCTACTCAGGCCCTCAGTCAAGAGTTGGTAGCTGTCTTGGATCATAACTAACTTCGACGCGGTACGAAGCTACCATGCACATGGTAATTATCCTGACAACGTTATTATACGAGAGGAATAACTGGACCACTTAAAGTAATCGATACGGGAAAGGCAATCACTGCCATTTCAGCTGTCTGCGAAGAATCCTACGATTGAGGCGGCCGGAACGGTTCCCAGACATGGAGGTCTTTCAGTTTACAATAATGTTCAGCGTTCCCACCATGCTAGAGCATCTGCTATCCCAAAAGGGACCGGCATTTTGCACGAATGGAGAACAATAGTCGCTACGCGTTTTTGTTGCTAAGTTGAGGGAAAACGACATAACATTTACAACGCCTAGAATCAAAAGAATATGGCGCAAGTCTACTATTACCATAAAATAATTTAACTTCATGTGTTTATGCATGAGCTCACTCTCATACTGGACACATGGTGGACGACGTTGAAATCGACGCCTGAGGCATAAAGTGAGGCGGCATTCGGTCACCATTGTGAATTAGAATTTATTATGGCAATATACAAGCGAATATGATGATTTCGCCTGCAGTTACGTAAAACGCGTAATGTGAAAGGCATGGACATACATGTACATGGAAAATTTAAATCCCACAAAACTGGATACTAAATAAATTGGTCACGCATATGCTCTCGATAAGGTTTAATATGGTTTTTAAACCACATTGCACTTACAAATACGCAAATTAACGAAACAAGTAAAGCGGTAATTAGAGCGCAAGCCTGATATTCTGATGGAAAATTATGATTTATAATTATCACCGCATTGCACCCACATACGTCGAGAGTGGTGCGGTCGACAAGATAAACATTGCGAATCAGAAGTCAAAGAAGACGGAGAGAGTTGGACAACCCTACCCAAAGGAAGTCGCCGCGATCGCGCTCCAAGGTTGTTTCTGTCTGGGTCCGCCTACGAGGTGTCTGAACCCTGCGAGTATGTGCACCTCTCGTTGTCTCCGCGTCCCTCAGCCAATCAGAGGATGGACCACGTTGATTGTCCTGGAGCACTCGCGAGGCTAGTGACAAGCAACCCACGCGTCCCAGCAGCGTGTCGACAGGGAGTGTGAGGCCGACAGGACGGCTGCGTGGCAAAGGTTTAGGGCAAGGAGACGGCAACTGCCAAACGTACACTGAGTGACTGATCTCATGAAACATTGGCTAAAATCCTAAAATGCGCTTTCGAGTAGGAAGTATTACTTAGGCGCAGTTTTAATACGGATCATCCTGCGGTATAATCTTAAATTTTTTAGGTCTTTGAGGGATGCTGGCTTTTGAATACACTGCTTTCCAATCTCCTATAGAAACCGTACTCGGTAAGATATGATTACTTACATTTCATGCATTTACCTATTGATTGTCGATGGTGTAACAAATTCAAATATATTTTTGAGAAACCACGAACAAAATATGCTTTATTTTAGTCGTTTGATAGAGAATCACGTCATCTCTATATTTATACTTGAAAGGAGAGTATAATTAGGTTTTAGCAAATGTTTCTAATTGCCGAGCAATTTGGAGCGTGATCAGTCGTTGCATTAATGCTTTGTGAATTCAGGCTTCAAGGTGCGGGGATTCCGTGGAAAGAAAATCGCAAAGTCCGCCAAGAACGTGAAGTGACGACCGTAGAACAGACTGCAGAATTTCTTGACGCAAAACACGAGGGCTAGAACAATTTTCTCTATTTGCCCATAGTTCTTCTCTGCAGGACTAAGCGTGCGAGATCCATGCATGATTGACTTTTTAAACCCGTAAGGAAAAGTATGTGAGATTGTGACGCATACTCCGTGGTTGGAAGCATTTGCAGCAAAAACTATTGGCAGCGTCGGGTCGTAGTGCGTTTGCAGCAGATCTGAACTCAGCAAAGACTTTGCCTGAGCGAAGCCTCACTCTTGCAGTCTGACGGCCAGTGCCAGGGAGCATCATTTTGCAGCAGACGGTTGAGCGGTGCCCGTACGTCATGCAGCTATGACAGGAAGCGCTATAGTAGGAAACGAACGAAGTTGCGATACATTCTTGGGTGCAGGCATCCGTTTGATGGTCCGAATGTTCTCAGGATCTGGATGGCTACCAGTGTCGTCAAAACGAAGTTGAGGCACTTGATGATGTCGAGGTAGAATTGTCACTTGTCAGAGCTCAAGTAGAAGCCATGTTCATGCATTTTCTCGAGTAATGCTCAGATTCGGTCTTGTAGATAATCAGGGGAGCGACCGACAATGATGATATCGTCCAGGTATCCAGCTGTGCCAGAAATACCGGAGAGCATTGAGTTCAGCGTTCGTAGAAATAGGCTGCGGCTGTCTTAACACCAAAGAACAGCCTAATGTATTGAAACAGACCGCGGTGTGTATTGATGGTCAATTATTCGCGTGACTTGGGAGCAAACTGGATCTACAAGTACGCACCAGCGAGATCCAACTTGGCAAAGGGCCACCACTTAGCAGGGTGAGTAACCAGCTGATCTGGCATTGGATAACAGTTTGAGGTCAGCGCGGCATTAAGATCGGTGAAAAAGTCAGCACAAATGCGGTTCGAACTATTGAGCTTCCTAACCACAACGATTGGAATTGCCCAAGCAGAGTAAGGTTTGCATGGTTGCATTGCAGATATCAACGACGAAGATTTATCAGCTAGTGATACTAGCATTCGTTTCAGATTTAAAAGCATAATATATTTTCCTCAGCGTGTTATCAATTAAACGAGTCATCATCTGATAAATCTCCGTTCAGACTACGAATGCCAGCAAATGCATTTGTATTTCCCTTTTACAATCGCTGATTAATTTCACAACAAATTCATGCAGCAAAGACATAGGTCCCCTAAGGAAAATGGTTAATATAATACTTATGCCTAAGAACGCAGGCGAAACACTTTTCACATTGGCAAGTACCAGTAAACGTTTCCTTATTCAGTCGCAAATGCCTTTTAGGTGTCTTCTTAAAGCTGGTCAGAGTTCCAGGTTAGAGAATGCGTTATTCTCCTGCCAATTAACATCCACATTTATCGGTGTAATTAGACTTCCTTCTCAGAAGTCCTGGTTATAGTATATACAGTGCGCCACCGATCTCATGAAATGTTGGCCGACATTGTGAAATGCGTTTTCGATTAGAAAGGTTAACTTAGACGCGGTTGTAACAGTGATTATCTTGTGACATACACTTTTAACATGTCAGAATCGGCAGTATGTCAGCTTTTAAATGAACTTGTTATTGACCTCCTGTAGGAAACCGACTAGGTTAAGAGTGATTACTTTTGTAGCATGCATTTTCCCTTTACTTGTGGATGGTATTACAAATTCAAATATATTTCTTAAAAAAACGCGGATGGAAAATGCATTATTTTACTCATTTGATAGAAACTTACGTCATCTTTACATCGCATACTCGAGGAAGGAGTATAATTGGGGTTTGAAAAGTTTGCAAGTATGGGATTTTTCAAATCTGTGCAATGTCCATTCCCATCTCATCGTACCCGTCCGTTTTCCAAGGCTACTCATGAAATATACAACATGGTTCGCATCAACTGCAACATGTAATTGACTCTATACGGCATCTTTTCAAAGGCACAAAATAATATATGATTTTCCTTACACGGAACTCATGAACCTTGCGGACTGAAACCACTGAAAACTAATTCAACGGCTGAGCAGGACCCAAATTATTCGGAAAGTGCAAAACTTTTATAAAAATAATTATTCTTTATCTTCAAGTACACAATAAAAAGATGAAGCGATTCTTTATCAAATGAGTAAAATAGAACATTTTCATCCGTGTTTTTCACGAAGTGTATTCGAATTTGCAATACCATCGAAAATTAATGTGAAAACTTCATGCTACATAAGTAATCATTCTTTATCCGGTACGGTTTCTACAGGAAGTCGATACGAAGTACATTCCAAAGCTGAAATACTGTCAAGTCTGAAATGTTATAAGATTATGCCACAAAATAATCAGTGCTGCAACAGGGCCTAAGCTATCCTTTCTAATCGAAAACCCATTTCACAATTTCGGCCGGCAATTCATGAGATCGGTCACTCACTGCATCAAACGACGATATCCTTGCCCATTCTTGCATCCTCTAGCAAATTATTAATTGCTGATATAAATGCTGTTAAAATGATCAAACATAGTGAACTACGTTCTCCTTTCCTTCAGCGTCCACTGAAATCATAACTGAGTGCAGCATGTAACGCTGTCTTCACTGTGTGCCCCATAAATTGAAACCATTTCTAGACGTCGGCAAATGACCAGCTGAATACGTTTATTTCTTCACGAGAATGTTCCTCAAGTACCTTAACAATTTTATTAATCCTGTCTAGGTGATCACGCACCCCTATATGGTGAACGGTCGTGCAAATATTCTGACAGTCGCATTTACTTCTCTTTTGAGACGCGTTCCACTCAAACCTACGAAATGATCAATTAGAACGCAGTGTACCCAAACATGTCAAAATGTTGCCTTGGTTTCTTAATTCCATCATCGCACACCTCTTATAACGCACATGCACATATAAATACACGGAGAATTCGCCTGCAACAGCACAGCTTGTATTGCAAAGTAATTTGCAGCCGTAAACTTCCCTGAGAATATTAGCTCAGTTAAACTGATTAGTAAATATACCTCTCACCTTAATTCCTCATTAATTTGGTTTTAGCGAGCATGTTTATCGCCAGTATTCTTCCTGCACTTTTTGCGTGTGTACTTGGTAGGTTAACGCTAAAATAATGTTTTAATAGTCGGTTTGTGATCTCCGATAAAGGTCAACAAATAAACGTATGCGTTGCCTCTCTGAACTTAAACAGTTTTTTTCATTACAGGTGCCGATGAGTCCGTTGTGAATTTAGCGTTGAACTCAAACATCACTTTTCCTTTTATTAACCTACGGAAGCCGCAAGTAAGCCGTACAGTCTTTTACATTGTTACGCTGTTACTTATCCGACTGCGTAATGGGAAATTTTTTTATATTGGAGTCGGTCTTGCATGAAAATGCGGTAATTCAAGACGGATCAAAATCCATGTCGTGTGAAACAGGTGAGCCATGTTATCAGTTATTAGCAAGTGGGCGCATTACTTCTAATGATCCGGCCTCTTAAGACCCTTGGAGCATTTATGCATGTTCCCTAATCTAAAACATTGCTTTTGATTCGCTGTGTATGCCATGCGTTTAGTTTTTTTTTTTATTTGTTTGGTATACAGGCTAATTCCTATTGGTGCTTTAGAGACAGAAATCATGCAATTTTCACTGGATGTTAAAATGGTGAAACGGGAACCATCGTAGTCTATCCTGCCATCTTTCCTGCACTCTGATTCAGTTAAAAAATAAACGAATATGATAACTCTGTAATTAGTGCCACATTGATTTTGCTGCAGCCATTTATCCGTCTGCGCCGAACACAGACTTCACTGTGCCTTTACTTGACGAACCGACACCGCGCGTAAGCCGTGCATTCTTTTGAATTTGAACGCTGATAATTATTGTACTTCGTAAAGTGGCACTTTTATAATGCAGTCGGTCTTCCATAAGAATATGGCACTTCGCGAGGGATCTAACTCCCAGCCCTGTAAAATAGGGGAGCTATGTTATCAGTCATTAACAGGTGAGCACATTTCTCCTAATGGTCTGCCTTTCTAAGACATTTAAGGCATTTATTTATCTCCCCCAGAATATAAACTTTTAAAGAGGGCATTATTTTTATGAAGCCGCTTATGCTTTGCGTTTTTTATTGTTTTATTTATTCGGTTCCCAAGATGATTTCCTTTGCCACTTTGTAGACAGATAATATGCATTACTCGGTGGATCTCCTGATGGTGGAACCGGAATCATCGTCGCCTATTCCGTCGATAAAACTAAATCGCCATCAGCAATAATTGTCCAGAAAAAAGGCGAAACTTCAGTTGGTAGACATACACGTTTTTCACTAGAACATTATTTATGTCATTGGGAAATATGTTGTTCTATGTTTACTTTTATGCAACTGAACGTTATTGATATATTTTGCATTAGGTACATTCTGTGCGCTAGTTGTCGTGGGTTAGTAATTTAGTTCAGCGTGTTGTAAAATGCCTATCTTCAAACATAATACATATGTATGACCACCATTCATAACGTTTACGTTCGATTCCCCTATCTTAAACCTAACCTTATATACTGAGAATTAGACTTCCAATGACGAGTCAGAAATGCATTAACGTTCGTGGTTTAGGTAGTCGATAAGCCAATTGTTGAAAAGTTCAAAGGTCGGTCAAACGTCAGTCCAAATATTACACCATATTTTAACTACTATTATGGATTAACGTAAAAGGTTATTTAAGAGCAACTGGCATAGCGTGCCCTACTCCACCCTTATGTTAATTTCACTTTGAAAGGGGATCATTTGCCCGAGGCGCAGTTTAATATTGCATGGGCTGACAATGATATATTAATTATCATTTGTAATAAATATTGTTCAACTGTGCATTTTTATGCCCAATATGCGTGTTTTTGGCACAGACTCGTCGATCCCAGTACACGTTGGCGTGACTGAAAGGATTGAACTGAATACGACAGTTTCCGAATCAGTACTTATTTGGTATGCTGACAGAGTTCAGGTATGTAAAATAGGTTAACGTACGAGCATTATATTGTAGTCCACAGGTAACATTTGGCATCCACAAAACCTTTTCTTACGTAAAATCGTCATTTCAACTGTTATTTCAGGACACAACAATTAATGAAAATATAGAGTTCGTGCTCGGTGATTATCGGCCTCTGAAAGGATACGTCTACCTGCCCCCATATCGTAAGTTGGGACTGTTGGTCACCTATTATGTATGCTTTATGCACTAAAGTGCAGTGGAGATTTTTCGTTTTAAAGTGAATTAATTATTTGACCACATTTGTTTAAGGAAAACATCATTTTACACTGAAAAGCACATTAAATAAGAAAGCAAACGACAGTCCAATGACGATTGAAACAATTTTGCATATTTACTTCATATGCGAAGTAAATTATTTAAGTGAAATCGATAGCAAATAATAAGAACGTTGACAAAACTTTGGTGCACAGTGGTCAACCGTCGACAAGAGCATCGATTTATGCATTCTTTGTGTTTTAAATCGATAGTTAGATCTGAATTTTAAAATTGGGGAAAACAATTAATATTCGTAAATTTGTTACAATTACGCTAACATGAAATGTACTTCTTTGGTTTTGATGCTATCACTGCTTACTTGTCAGTTCAACCCCAAATCTAACAAATAATGTTTGTTCCAATTACCAACAGTCAACGAGGGCACTAAGGAACTGTCTCTTCTTGTCCTGACCGGACGACTTGGAACCACACAGATGGAGTACGAGCTTATGTTTTCCAATTCCAGATGTATGATATTAAAAGTGGTTCCTGGTGATGTTCCAGTTATGGCGCCCAAAACATTTCGTGTTGCCTTCAGTGATGTGCACCATTTAAACCTTGGAAACTCCTGCTCTGCCTCTTGCCAGCTATCATAACAGCGGCACTGCCTTGACAATGCCTTTTGATATATCTCCTGTTTGTGTTTCGACAGACTTAAATGTACGCTAATGGTACATATGTGGTGCTTTTGTTACTAAACATAAGCAATGAATGTCAAGCTACTTGCACGCTTTTAGGGAAACACACCATATAAAACAACATGTATTGCCTGGGCTGCAAGTAGATAGGTAACAAGTCGGTTTTCTTACCTAACTTAATGAATTTTCGGCAAGGCGTAAAATCTCGCGGATATTGCAGACTAACTGAGAGAAAGGTTCAGGCCGATTAAACTCAGATTAACCACACCTAGCCCAGGGCCATAATTGAATTCAACGATTATGTTACACATAAAAGTCTCAATGAGAAAACGATTCCGTCCTTAGAGGTTGTGTCTTCCTACACTAGCAGTCCTGTTAAGGAAACGATAGAACGTTTGCTTGGAGAGATTTTACGGTACGTTTTCCCGAATGTAATTCTGGTCGGAATCTCGAAGGGCTTGGCATTTCGCTGCATGTTAAATGTGTTGTTTACATTCAAGGGTCACTTTTACCACCATATCGACGGCATAGTGATGGAATTGCCATTTGTACCTCTACTGGTCGATGTTTTCAAGGGTAAACGAGAGAAAAACCAGACATGTACTCATAAAATTGACCCTTATCTCTATCATAAATATGCTGGTGCTATTTTGGCAACAGCGGATAAGAAGCCTGATGTGAACACCCTCCTGAACATAGTTAACCATGGTCACCCAGCGTTGATCCATACTTTAGTCAACCGAGAACGGATGAAGCAATCTATTTCTTGTCGCCTTGAGTAATCCAATGCCGGATGGACTACTTCGTAAAGGTGTATTTCGTAAGTAAGGAAACCTGGGTAGGAACATTTGCAACTGTCCACATTTGTGTAGCTTTAAGTCAGAAATAAAGTTCGGTCCACCGATCGCGTTAGAGGAATATGCACTCTGAATAGGCTTGATAATGTACTCGGCAATATACAAGGCTGCGAGAAAAGGGCATTCATGAAAAGTTAACGTACAAATACACGGAGGGACGCCTTCAAAAACTATGCATACGAAGGCTGAGAACAACGAGTTATTTCTCGCATTGCGTCTCCAGAGGATCGCCATACGATCTTCTGCATCTCTGATTAAACGCCACTGTCCACGTACCCAAACACTATGATAATACTGGTGATCATTAACATTGCCCGTCGCGTCTTGAAGGCAGTGATAGACGGCCTTTTCAGATATCTTCATTGCGTATATACGCATTCAATTGCTCCTGTCCGGCAGGTTATATTTGTGGAACAACTATGCATCTATCCAAGCGGATGCGAGATCACCATGTAGCCTGGCGAAATGAAGTTGTAGCCCATGTGGTTGACGGCGGCCACCTAGCATTCCGAGTCATCTATCAAGTGCCGGCGAGACGTTCTATGTTCCTGCGTCAGCGGATGCCTGCGACGGCAGATGTAGTGGTCGTAGAGAAACAGAGACATAGTTAATTTTCAGACACATCACCCGTCCTTCTCCCTAAGTCACTGACACAACAGGTTTTTGACCCCTGACCTCTGACCGCCCTCATGCCTCTCATCCAGACGTATCTTTATTGAATGTTCTACCCTTCCTTATGTTACTGTACAGGCCACATTATGAATGATTGAAGGTGTACGTTCGCCGCACTTGCGTTTATAAATAAAAAAATATGTTGTTGTTTCATGTCACGCCCCCTCAAGCGGACGGTGTACCCTCAAGACAGATGCACTTCGCAACTTCGTAAATGACGTAATTCTTCATGATAATATGACTTCTGGTGTCACGAAATATGTAGGTGTTGATGGTTGGGTCCTAATGAAAAGAGACCATTCATTTCTGAAAATCATGGATCATTAGTTGTACGAAAATATTTACGTCACAGCACATCCCGAAACACATTTTCGTCTCGGTTACTGTTTCCACAGCATTACCATCATCGGTTCTATCTGCATTGTCAACAGGATCATTCCATTGCTGTCCTTCGCAGTGCTGTGGCAATATAATATATTGAAAGTCAGCAATCTAAACGCGAAATGAAGATAGACATAAGGATTATATTATAAACTACAAATTGCTGTGTCAGTCGGTGAAAAATTAACGATGTAAAACGAGTAGCGTTGTATAATTGCCTAATCGTATCAGCCCGCCAGATTGTAAGCATACAAGTCCAATGACTAGAAAACCGCCGACATGCAGTCTACTATGGTACTGTCGTAACGCCCAGCTGGTAGTACGTTCTACAACTCGCCTCGATCAAATCCTTAAATGAGAATCCAACGGCAATAGTGAAAATGGCAACAAGTATTCCATTTGCCTGTCGTTTTCATACGAAAGTGCGCTCTAAACAAATCTCATGATGAACGCATATGCGATTTTGAAAGCTTAGGCCTTCGTCAACTTCTCAGGACTTTGCCTGTTTAAAACTGTATCTGACATTTATGCATTGGTAAAAATGCTTGTGTGCACTGCAGTGACAGTTCGACTGTCCTGTCAGACGACGCTCAGCGCCTACTCCCGAGTCGGGTAGAGCGTGCACAAGGACCTGCGTCTAAATTAGTTTAAAGGGTGAGTAGACATGCACAGTAATTGACGCACGCGGGCTCGGTGCTATCGCAGACACAATGACCAGAGGCGCGTGAGGACGCAGGTGCGTCGTTTCGTCACAGGCCCCTGGTACACAACAAAATTGTGATCAGGATTTTTAGCGTTAAAACAAGACAGCGGGTCAGAAAGAGCAGGATTACAGAGCAGCCATGATCAAGACCTCTATATACAGCGGTAATGCAAACGCCAATTCTGACATGGAACATGCATTGAAAATCACTGTAATTGGCCTACCTCGATTAACGATTGCTTCTACGCTTCACAGTCCAATCCTTCTACATTTAATCCAACTTACTGATGCTGCTATTTAGATGAAATGCAACTCTTTGGCCGCTGCAATAAAACTAAAATGGTGTGATGTGAGCGCTTTCACCCAATACAAACACAATGTTAAAGATGTAGAATCTAATGACTAGAAATCTCAGACACTCAGTCTGCTATGGTAATGTCGTCACACCCAGCTGGTAGTGCGTTGTACAACTCGCCGCGATCCAATCCTTAAATGAGAACGCTTACTGAATCCAAACAAAGAAAATTGTACAAACCTTGAACGTTTAGGGCCAGCTAATGGAACTATGTCTTCGAGTTGTTGACTTGTCCGCCGGCCATCTGACTCATCCAAGTGGCTTGGCGTCCCCAACCATGGTGATAGCTAGCGAGATATTAACACTCGGATGACGTAGGCGAAAGTCTACAGGAAGGCGTGTATGCGCACGGATAAATTAGTTTGCGAACGATTGCCTCAATCTAGTTGACACATATGTACACATCTCATGTGGATTGTCGCAACTGCCTTCATTTAAACTGCGATATTAACGCTGTCGCCAAGAACGGTTCAGCCAGTAATGTGCAACTGCACGCGCGGTTTTATCGCAGTGATCAATAACATGAGACCCCCTATAGGATGTCAACAACAATATCATTACTTAAAACCATGTTATAAGGTAAGACATATTATTAACGCAATTATTTATAAAATAAGATGTTGCAGTAAGGAAAAAATGCACCTTTAGAATTGAAGAAACTTTATTCACCGACGTTTCGTACTCCTGGTAGAATCCATAATCAGAGGAAACGGCATATACGGGTGGTTCATGAACAGTGGGCTAGAGTTTTTATAGGATGAATTCGCCATGCTACCGCATACCTATGCATATTCACGTATTGCCCTTCATCAGGGATCGTTGCTCGTGGTGTGATGGTCGAGATTCGCGTCGTTACTTGCTGCAATTTCATCATCTGCGTTGGACGCTAGTCTGATGATTGTTGGACTATCTGATCCGCCGCCTCTGGCGTTGGGAAAAGTGTTCACACGTGCGCTTTCCGCGTGGCTAATTACTCCGCCTATGCAAAGTATCAGCATTGATTATGGAAGATGAAGGCCATTGCATTTGTTCATGGACTAGGGGCTAGTAAGCCATGACTCAAGTAAATCCCGACTCACACGGTTGTCAGCTCTCGCGAGAATTTCGGTCTCGTCGAATCTGCATGTGTTGCCAGATCTCGTCGAATGAGCCGCAACAAGAGAACTGACGTCATTTCTGAGCACCGCTGCAGCCTGTTTGGTCATTCGCGTTTGGAGCTGCCTTCGGGTTTCTCCGACATAATTCCTTGGTCTCCAATAGCACGAGATATGATGAATGACTTCAGACGTGTCTAGCCGTGACAACGGGTCTTTCGGTTCTATTACCTGACGCCTGATGGCTGCCTCCGGTCTGTGTGAATCACCAACCCCAAATGGTGCAAGAAGGCGGCCGACAGCTTCCGAAACGTTCTTCAGATACGGAAGCGCTTGGTAAAATTTTGGATCCGTGCGGGTGAGTGTGTGGCGACTAGGCGTACTGTACTTTGGCATCAGCTCTGTATCAATCTTCCCTGTCGGAGAAATCGTATTTCTTTTGCTAAGATGCGCAAACAAATCGTCATTGTTCGTGACAGAAACGATGAGGGTCACACCTTCTGGTGGATGCTAATAGCATATGGACGGTTCAGTTCTCTCTGTACTGAAGGGTATAAATGCATTCCCTGCAATGCATTGCCCTACAGTCACTACTCTTTTACTTGAGAGTTGCGAAAATTCCCATTGAAAAATTCAATGGGCAATTTGGCGAGCATAAGTCTGCTTTCGATAACTTTAATTCAGGCCTGTGTATTTGACTTTCAGGCATCGCATGGGCCTATTTGGCCGCATGCACATCCACGACGACCTGCGGTAGACAACCACCGGCCACACCACACATTCACTCACTCCTAACCTCCTCCACCACCACCATCACCCCACCAGAACTCAACACTCACACACCTCATGCACCCAACTGCCACCTCGCACGCAAGTGGGAAGTGTGCATCTCGACTCGGTCCCCATGCGGCTTCGGCTGCACGGGTGACTTGAGTCCGAGACTATCCCGGCACGGCAAGCGTCGTGGATAGGAAGGTTGCTGATTGACGCCTGCTCTCGGTTCACGCAGTTCGTCGCGTTGTGTGTGTTGTGTGGAGTGGCGGACTGGTGGGCTGGGAACGGGCTGAAACAGCACCTTCCACGGCACTCTCACGCAAGTGAGAGACACACCGTTCAACGCCCGTTGTGTGAAATCCTGGTGTTGTGTGTATGGGGTCCAGGTCGTGCCGTGGCGCGCGCAGTCATGGTAAGTCGACCATGACAGCCACCGCGCCCATTCCCTACTCCAGTCTGCTGACCGGCTCGGACAGCGTCTGGGGTGTGGGAGTGGGAAGGGAGAGTGCGGTCGACGACTCAGCGCACTTTCTCCTCACTATAAACAATCTGACGCGCTTGAAGCTATCACGGTGCGCTAAAAGCCGTGGCTTGGAAGGTTGCCGACTGACGGGATATCTTGGACCTCCTCCTGGACCGGAGGCGGTCTGAGAGTCAGGCTGCAATGGCTCCGTTTTAATGTGGCCTTTATGGCACTCCCATCACAGTGTGGGATCCGATTCAGGCGTTGGCGGCTTCAGCCGTGCCAGCCTCCAAATCTCTCTTGTGTTGGTTGAAATCCTGGTTATTTCTTGTGTGGACCAGGGGGTGTGGTGGAACGCCAAGGTGAGGATCCGTCCGAGCCATTCACCTGCGGCCTCTCTCGTCTCCGGTCTTCTTGACTGTCTTGACACCGGGCTCGGGCGAGGGAGGAGGAGAGAGTGTAGGTAGATGCTACGCAAGTCCACCGGCACTATAAACCCCTGTGTAAGTCACCGTCCCTGCTCCCACTGCTGCTGCAACTGTGGGGCACACGGTGGACATCATCGAAACCGATGGTAGGACTGTTATATTAAATTAATTTATTAAAAGATATGGGGAGGTAGATCATTATGTGGTCGCTCGATGTTAGGGAGGAGGACTTTGGGATAGTGAAACACCACAATTCTAGTCACCTCCAGGGATAAGATACGCCGAAAATGAACTAGAGAGCACGCATATAAAGGCGGAAGAGCTTGTACGTCACGTTTGCCAACGGGCAGCCATACTCGATCAACTAGGCAATGACGAGAGATACGAATTCCAAATTATGTGCAGCCCATTTTGAACAAACTTGGGGAAATCAAGACAGATTCCCTTCTTCGGCGTATTCGTGAAGGTGGACCACAATTTAAGATTTCTGATGATCTAAGTTGGTACGTACACAAACATTTGTCCATATCTATCGATAAAACATTGATTGAAGCCTGCTCGTTAGGTCCTACGTTTTGCAGTCTTCGCTAGAAACCAAACACAATTCGAGAACCTCTTGAATCAAATGCATGAACTTCAGGCTGTTTCAGCAGTGAGCGTACAACAATCTGCTTACTAGACCAGATGAGGGGACTAGCATTGTCCTGATGGACAGGGTAGACTATATTACAAAAATAAACTCAATTCTGTCGAATAAGGAAAGGTTTAGAATGGCAGAAAAGTAGAAGTATCGTACAGAGGAGATCGAAATACAACTGACTAACTGCCTGAAAAAAATTCACACGGATGCTTGCATACGCGAGAGCGTAGAGCGCATCCCATCCGTCGGCACGCATATACTTTAGTTATACGGCTGTCCGAAGATCCACAAAGATGGCATATCGGATCGTCCAATCCTCGATATGAGAAACTCGCCGTACCATGCAATACCGAAATTGCTGGCGGAGGACCTATAGCCTCTGCTGTATCAACTAGCGCCACATAGCTATCAGGAAAACTTTGAATTCATTAAGGACATGAAAGACCCCGATCGGAACGAAATGCCTGTGCTCTTGTTTGATTACTCGTGAATGTTTACGAACGTACCGGTAACGGAAACAGTCAACTACATCTGTGGTAAAGTAAGTTATTTTTAAAGACATAGTTTTGAATGGAACAATGTTAATATTTTGCGCATAAACAATGTGTTTTCTAACATTTATTATTTCATTAGTTGAAATGCATTCATATAATTTTGAATCCCAGCAGCATAGAGCTCAAAATAAATCACTATGAACACTTTCTTAAAATTGTCATCAGGCTCAAAAGGTCTAATTTGGACCGAATTACCGGCGCATATTTTATTTCGGTTGTATTTGTCGTTAATGACGATAATTATTATGATGATGGTGATGATGATGATGATGATGATGACGATGCTGATGATGATGATGATGATGATGATGATGATGATGATGATGATGATGATGATGATGATGATGATGATGATGATGATGATGATGATGATGATGAAAATCGTGGATGCGAAGTGGACTATTTGGATTCTGTTGGTCACCGTGCCAGCGTATTCACTAAGACAGAGGACGACGAAGCGCATTTCAGCAATAATTGGTCATATGTGGTTATGTAGCCGCACCTGTGTTAAAGCAAACACGGTAAGATGATATTTGGTAGCCGTGCCCACAGACTCCACAATGGTACCTATTGGCTCGATTTCAGTAGCTGTGATTGCGTTCTCATTATGCTTCTAAATTCACGCGCACGCTGTATTACCTGCGTCAGATTCATTTTAGAGGAGCTATCCTGGGCAGATTTGCGCCGGTAACGATGACAATGAGGCTTACCCTCTATCAACTTTCATTAGAAGAGGTAGTTGGCAGGCGTGCCCACAGAATCCACAATTGTACCTACTGGCTTGATTTCAGTAGCTATGATTACGTTTTCATTATGCTTCTAAATTAACGCGCGCTCTGTACTACCTGTACCAGATTCATTGTAGAGGTACTATCTTAGGCGGATTGGCACCGGTAACGATGACAATGAGACTTACCCTTTATCAACTTTCATTAGCAGAGGTAGCTTTCGGCTGCCTCATTATTTGCGGATTTTCTCTTCCACCCAAACCATTTTTCGTATAAAAGTCTTGCCCGGCTTGCGTCGTGGCGTCCCGCGTGCCGCTGCTTGACTCTCGTGTTCTTCTGTCCATTATGTTGGATGGAGTTCTATCGCACACACTGCGGAATGACCTTCGGACCAGTTGCCTTCTTCCCATTGGTTGTTCGCCTTCACTTGCTATTCTTTCCAATCTGAGGCTAGGATGCATTTATTCCGCACACCGTTCAAAGTCTCCTTGCTCATTTCCATACCTTCCTTGTATTTTGCACCTAATCTGAATTAGGCTTCCCTTTACCTGGAGCGTCAATTCCTAGCATATACTACAATCGCCATTTACCCGTCCACTCAATTGTCCCACCTGTATAGCCCCTATTGCCACCGGTCCCGATTGACAGGCAGCTGCGAGTTTGCGGTGTCAGAAGGGCTACCAAGTATCATCTAACCGCAAACACCTCTAATACGGGCCCGGCGGTTACATGGGTTTTTACAGGTGTGACGGGGCAATCCACAGACGATGCGGTTAATTAGATGTATGTACAAAAAACCATTGGAAATGCGTGGTTGTATTTTGAGTGGTTATTAAATAGTTGCCATAGCCCATAACCCTTATCCTTACCTATAACCCCAACCCTTACCCATAGTCGTGATCCCTTAGCCTACCAACTGACCCTAATCCCTAAAACTAACCCCTAACTTTAACCAATAATTCTTACCCTAACCCCCAATTCAAACAGTATTATGTTCATCGGTTGGGGATACATAACCAGATCTTACCCAATACTTTATAGCTCAAAGAAAAATGTGTAGAAAATCAATCCATTAATTTGTAGACGCTTTATGAAAGACTCCTGTTAATAGCCTTCATGTTCATATGAGGTAATCGCAGCATATACGGACCAATCCATTTAACATTATGCGTCATTTTGTAAATAAGCAAGCGAGAAATACGAAAATGCCTTGTTGGATTAGACGACCCTTGGCATAGTTTGAACCAGGATCACTGAGCATTTCAGATATAATCATTTGATTTTTTATGGTACCACGGTATTTTAAGCGCTTTGTACTCCAAGGAAATGGCCTTATCGACATTGCCAGTAACAATAGTTTTCAGCTGTAAATAGGCTTTGGATCGTCGACGGGCACAAAGACGCAGGCAAGCTGAATGGCTTATCTCAGCTACGTCTTGTAAATCAACTGGTCGGTAGGCGTTAATCCGCGCCTAGTGGGTGTAATCACGAGGTATTCTCTGTTTTAGGACGTTCGAAGGCAGACTTTGTGCAGGACGACAAATCTTTATTGACTGATCTTACACAGTTGTCAAGAATCACAAGATGATGAAGTATTAGGATATAAGCAGATCGATAGGTAAAAGCCTAGGCCTATTAGGTGGAAGAACGAGGAATTCTCTGTGAAAAGGAGTACACAGGCAGACTGTGTGCCAGAACGACTAATCTGTACTGACTAATCTTTCGTAAAGGTCAGGAATCACACGACGATGAAGTATCAGGGGTTGCATTTGCAGTGATAAAATGACATAGCGGGTACCGGGCTTTCTAATGGTGAAGACAGGCATGCCCTCAAGTCTTGCAAAAGGAGACACGATCGCCGGGACAAGAGCTTTATTAGCCTGAAGTTTCGGATTCCTACTCCACTCCACTTCTACGTCCCAATCCATACTCCGTGCTAAAAGTTCGCCTAGGCGGAGTAACAAGCCATGCGGGGAGGGCAGAGGTGAACACTTTTCCCAACACCGGGGTCGGTGCGTCAGATGGTCGAGCAATCATCACGCCAACATCCAACGCACTTGATGGAATTGGAGCAATTATCTACTCGAATTTCGGTCATCAATCAATGATCACACCAAGTGCAACGATCCCTAATGAATGGAAGGGAGCCGTGAATGTTCATAGGTATGCGGATGCATGGCTACTGCATCCTATAAATACCGCAGCCCCTTGTGCAACAACCACCCGTTTCTGTTTTTATGTCTCTGATGATGGATTCGAGTAGGAATCCGAAACGTCAGGCTAATAAAGCTCTTGCCCCGGCGACCGTGTCTCCTTCTTCAAGACTACATCCTGAGACTCGTATCTTCGCTTCTATTGGCAATGCTTTCAAGTTTCCATGATATTAGCGTTAATGCGTATTCGAAACCGATAAATTCGAGTCAAGGTTTCTAGGAATGATAATGTATTGTCAGAAACACCGAGTAGAATCAAGCTAAATTCTGAAATCACTGGATGGTTAACAGCAGATTTTCATACTGTAAAATTCCGAAGTTGCAAAGCTAAAGGCTGTCTGTGACACAATGACAAACATCCCCCGGCAGATTTCACTTCACAAACTGCCAGCCAAATGTTGTTGATGACGTGTCTGCATTTATAAATAGCCCGTTTTATAAATCCTGATTCAAATAGTAATTCACAATTTCTACTTTTCATGTGTCTTGGTGCTCAGTTTTAATGCAATCGTCAGTGCGTATGTTTAAAGTGCAACTCATGTATCATGTCGTAGACACAGTAAATGCACAGAGTCAGACAAAAATGCACTCACACATCCAACACTACCCAGTTCTACCCTTTTTGTGTGCAGAAATATAAATCGATCTGTTCTAAATCAAGCTCCGTCATTCAACGTTTTTCCTGGCATCGACCTGCGTTAAAGAGAGGGCAGTAATTTAACGTTTTTTTGGCATTGTATCGCCGATGGTGCACCCGTCAGCCCGCATCTGTCTCTCACCCATCTGGCATGATGCAGTAGAACTCTCACATACCTCATTTATTCCTCCAAGGTCACAATGGCAACTGACATTTCATCGCCAGTAGCGATATAAATGTTATGTTTCCCCACAAGATATGTCAAATTTGGCCCAGCAGACCGGAATTCAGACATATCCGCACATTCAGAAGTAGACGTATGTGATCAGATAATTACCGCACTGCACCTTTGCACATATGCACGATGTGCATATGCAATTGCGGTTAACCAAATGCAGTCGCCAATTGTTATGGCCAGACCTGCTACTTAGAATTCACGCGAAGATTGTGCGTACTCAAATTTTGTCCCCAAATCCAACGCAGCAGGAAAGAAGAACACGACCGGTCACAGAAAATTGTATTGGAAAATTGCTGGTCACTTCTAACTGGAAAGTAACACGTATTCATGACACCCTACTGCGGTTCGCCTGCATTCGTTCCAATGCCCCTGGGGAAGAAAATTGTAGACGAACTGATTGATAATTCGAATATACGGAACGATCAGGCGCAAAGGCGGGCGAGCCAGCGGACAGGCGATATGGTTTTACTGAGTGCGCGGTAGAGGAAAATGCTTGTGGGCTCTAGTGATTGGTTGACTATTGTAATTAGAAGTTTAGGAAATCCCAATAGAGTTATGTAATAGGAAAACTACGTTCTACAAATTTCCAAAATATATATGTGTAAGTTCAGGTTCTGCATATTTGCATTGCAGGGATTGACGACTTGCATGTTTCAACTAGTGAAACGGACATTCGTTTCAGATTGAAAGGGATAATATATTATCAGCAGCGCGTTATCAATCAAACAAATTATCATCTGCTAAATCTCTGATCATACTACGAATGCCAGCAAATCCAGTTATATTTCCATGGTACCACCGCTCATAAGTTTCCCACTCAATTCTTGCTGCAATGAACTGGGTCCGCCAACAGATGGTGATGTATAGAAAACAGTTAGGATAATAATTATGCCAAAAAACGCAGGTGCAACATTTCTCACATTAGCAAATGCCAGTTAATGTTTGCGTATCTAGCAGCAAAGGTTTATTAAGTGCAGTCCTAAAGCTAGCCAGAGTTCAAAATAAGCGAAGGCGCTTTTCGGCTACTCATTAACCTATAATGCTACCGGTATAATTAGTCTTCCTTCTCATAAGTCATTTTTATATTTTATATTAATCGACATATGCTTGCCCAATCATACATCATATGGCAAATGATTATTTGGTGATGTACATGCATTTAAATTGATAAAAACAGAGTGACCTACATTTTCCTCTTATTTGGCATCCGCTGAAATTATAACTGAGTGCAACATGCAACGCTGTCTCCACAGTTTGCCCCATCAATTAATGATATTTCTATACGTCGGCAAATAACTAGTTGAATACGCTTTTTTTCTTAACGACGATGTTCCTCAAGTACCGTAACAATGTTTTTGCAGTACACTATGAGTAATCACGCACCGCTATAAAGCAAACGGTTGTGCCTGTACTCTGATATTCGCATTTTCTTGACTTTTGAGAAATGGTTTACTAACCTCTGAGTTGATCAATTAGAATGCAGTGTTCCCACACAGGTCAAATGTTGCTTTGGTTTCTAACCTTCGATCGTCGTAGGTCGCACATCTCATACGACGCACATGCACATATAAGTACACGTAGACTTCGCCCGCACCCGCACAGTTTGCATTTGCAACCACAGTAAGTTGCAGCCGTAGACTACCAAGCAAATATTACCTTAGTTTGACTCATTACTAAATA